TCTTTTCTAAGGCTGAATAATATTCCCTTGTATGTATATGCCACATTCCCTCTGTCAGGAATGTTCTTCCCTGCCTTTTACCTGCCGGCCTCAGTCTCCTCCTCCAACATCCCTTCCTTCAGGAAACCCTCCTCTGTGCCCCTGGCTGGGTCAGCACCTCCTCTGAGCTCACACATTCACCTCTCTTTTCCCCTTTGTGGCCTGTGTTTCCTCTCTTGGTGCCTTGGTCACTTTAGCATCCTCTCTGACCGTGCTGGGCTGTCGCTCTCTGGTGAAGGTCTGTCTCCCCCATTCTCCTGTGAGCCTGTGAGGGCAGGGACAGTACTGTCTTGATCACTGCTGTGTTCCCAGCATCGCCCCACACAGGGCTGGGCATGAGAAAACTTGTTATGTGCACCGTGACCTTAATGCTTAGTTCAAGCCTGAGCGTATACTTGGTGCTCAATAAGTTTGAGAAGAAAATAAAAAGACCTCTGGCTACAGCTCCCTAGTGCATTTGTTATGAAACCAAAGTGGGTCCACTTCTTAGTGAGTTGAAATCAAAGCGAGGGCCAGCCCTGTGGCTGAGTGGTCAAGTTTGTGCACTCCGCTTCGGCAGCCCAGGGTTTCACCAGTTCGGATCCTGAGCACTGACATGGCACTGCTCATCAAGCCATGCTGAGGCGGCGTCCCACATAGCACAACCAGGAGGACCTACAACTAAAATATACAACTATGTACTGGGGGGCTTTGGGGAGAAGAAGAAGACAAAAAAAGAAGATTGGGAACAGATGTTAGCTCAGGTGCCAACTTAAAAAAAAATGAAATCAAAGCCTTCACCAGAAGGAGTTGTCACACAAAGTAAAATTTATTTGCAGCAAATAGAGACCATGGGGAATTGTTTCCAAAGGCGTGGCTCCCCAAGCACAGGACCGCAGGGGCCTTTTATTTCAGATGGGAAATGAATATTCAAGAGGGAGAGGTGGGCATTCGCTTGCACAGGCTCAGTTGGAAAACATGCTTCCGCATACTTTACAGGTTATGGTAATAAGGCCTAAGCTCCTCCTGTGGCAGAGATCGTAGCATTAAAATGAAGCAAAGGTCATCTCTTGGGCTCTTCTCCGCCCATCTGGACAGGCATCACTCTTGGGTGGGGTTTGGACACGTTCAGGGCAGTTGGTGATTGCATCTCTTAACATAACAAAAAAAACAATTTGGAGAAACAGTTAAGTGCTCCCTTCAGTTATTTGGGACAATTAATCGGTGACACCTTCCTCCTTGCTTTACCACCTCACGCCACGTCTGGTCTCCCCCTGACTTCTCTCTTTCCCCCTTCCCTGCTTTTCTCTCTCCTCCTCATCCTGCACTTCATGCTGGCCCCACCCAGCCCTGAAGTCTCCCTTTCTTGGGCATGATAGTCACCTCTCCCACCCCTACCTATGAATTTCAGGCCCTCTGTTGCTCAGCTGACCCAAAGGAGCACCTGAGATTTCAGCCTTTACTTAGTGCCCAAACTTCAGGTTTCAGAGTGTTGCTAAATGTGCATACCTCTTTGCTGCCACTGACGACATTTTTCTGTAACATCTCTGCTAAAATGAATTCATTTGGAAAGGAAACTTTGACCCACGAAGTATTCTTGCAAAAACTGCATGAGCTAGAGCCACATATTGATGAATAAATCTCAAAACGTAATACTGAGGGGAAAAAGGTCAATTGCATGAGGATATGTACCATAAGATACAATTTAATTAAAGTTTACCAAAAAACCTAAAACTATTCTATACATTGTTGAGGAATATATGCATATACATTAAAAATATGAAAGCGTGCATGGGAGTGGAAATCCAAAAAGCTAATGAACATTTGAGAAGATCTGAAAAATCATTAGTAATAAGAGAAGTGAGAGTAGAAATAATGGCAGGTAGCACTTTACACTGAATTACTCTGTCAAAAACTAGAAAGCTGGATAATGCCAAGTGTGGGTGGCGATGGAAGGATACGGGAACACTCACAAACTGTTGGTTGGGGTGTGGAAGGGGCCACCTGTTGTGGAAAACGACCTGGCACATACGTATCTGTGGCCCAGCAATTCTGCTCCCTAAGAGAGACACGTGAGTCTCGAAGGGGCCGTGCGTGAGGGTGCTCCTTGCAGCAGTGTTCACAGTGGCAGTGGTGGAGGGGGAGTTGGAAGTAGCCCGAGTGTCCTCACTGGAAGGAGACGGCACACTGGAGGATGCACACCAGGAGTGACCCAAGCAACCATCTGAAGCCGTGGATTCAGTGTGCCCGGAATAATGTGGATGGATCTTAAAATTGTAGTGCTGAGCGAGGAAAGTAAGAGTCGGATGAGCTGTTTAACACCATCGTGGGTAAGTTAGAAAATGCATGCACAGAAAACAACGGTACCCATTTCACAAGAACACACTCAACAAAAAAGATATATATGAACATATTAGAATGTTTGCTAGTAGGGGCGCTGGAAGAGACTGCGATATGGGGATGTAAGGGAATAAATTAAATTTAGAAGAGCTGTCTTGTGGGGAATAATGAGCTGTAAACTGAGGGTGTAGGGTCAACTCAACCCATGACAACTGCGATCTGAAAAAGAAGCCAGGGGAAGGGGTGCCGAGGATGATGAGTCCCCAGTTTCATAGTGAAGTTGTCTCTGGGGCGAGATCAGGTGGCTTCAGATGCGAACTGCAGTGTAGGCTGCTTAAAAACAACCTGCTGGGGGCCAGCCCAGTGGCATAGAGAAGTTCGTGTGCTCTGCTTCAGAGGCCTGGGGTTCATAGGCTCGGACCTAAACACCGCTAATCAAGCCACACTGTGGCAGCATCCCACATACAACGTAGAGGACAATTGGCACAGATGTTAGCTCAGGGCAATCTTCCTCACACACACACACAAAAACCCCAAAAAACCTGCAGTGAATACCATAGAAAAATACTTAGATTTGACAAAGCTGGGTTGTGAGGACATAGGTGTTTGTTATGTTATTCTCTACGTTTTCTGGTATACTTGAAATATTTTATAATAAAAAGAATTTAAGGGGCCAGCCTCAGGGCCGAGTAGTTAAGTTCACGCGCTCTGCTTTGGGGGCCCAGGGTTTCACTGGTTCAAAGCCAGGGCATGGACCTAGCACTACTCATCAGGCCATGCTGAGGCGGCGTCCCACACAGCTCAACCAGAAGGACCGACAACTAGAATATACAACTATGTAGTGGGGGGCTTTGGGGAGAAGGAGAAACACACAAAAGAAGATTGACAACGGATGTTAGCTCAGGGCCAATTTTCGGGGAAAAAAAATTAAGAAAACTTTCCTCTCGCCACTGACCATGGAAAATAAAACATCTTATCTTAAAAATAAATACAATGAAAATAAGTTATTAAATTCTAGTCACACACTGAGGCCTCTCGAGACCTGCTCTAAGCAAGGTCAGAGGGGTGTTTGGGACACAGTAGCATCGAGCTGAGCCTTTTTCCATGGCAGCATCAGAGGGGCTGGAGAACTGCGTCAGCTTCTCATCATGGGGGTTTTGTGTCATTTCATGCCGTTTCACTTCATGTTGTGGACAGCCTAAAATCATTGCCCCCTTGGGAAAACACCTCTTTAACACATTGAATATGTTTCTTTGAAAGGATCTATCCTCTTTAGAAGGCATTGTAATAAAAAAAGAAGAGGCAGAAAAGTACATTATTGCGAGCGTACAGCTTGATGAATCTTCACAATCTGAACGCTCCTGTGCAAGCAGTGTTCAAATTAGGAAAGAGAAGCCCCCTTCCTGTTCCCTCCAGTCATGGTGCCCCCAAGGGTAGCCACCAGCCTGACTTTGATCATCCTAGATTGGTTTTGCCTCTTTAGAATTTCATTTGTAGACTCATACAATTGTAGTCTTTTGAGTATGGCTTTTTTCATTTAGCACAATGCTTTCAAGAGTCACCCCCGCAGTTGTGCGTATCAGTAGCTCGTTCCCTTTCGTTGCTGAATAGTGTCCATTGTGTGCATGCACCATAAGGTGCTTATCCATTCTACTGCTGAGGGGCATTTGGGTGGTTTCTGCTGTGGGCCTATTAGGAATACATTCACAGCGTTTGGTAGGCAGAAGTGGGTGACTTCTCAGGGACACGTGGCTGGGTCATAGGGTAGGCGTATGTCATCTTTAGGAGATCTCGGCATTGTGGTTTTTTAAAGGAAGTAATGAGCACTTCAAAATGTATTGTTTTGAAGACTGTCATATAATAGTAAAAAAGAATAATGAAAATTCAAATTTGACATCAAAGTAAACTGGCTTCATGTTTCAGAACAAAACAGATCCCTCTTATGACTGCTGACATGTTAATGGCCCCATTGATGACAACGTTTTGCTTTTACTAGACATTTTATGTAACTTCCAACCACTGACAGTTACCAAGTATTTGAAAATAAAAATATTTCATATTATTAGCATGGCCCTATTATTTTGCAAGTTATTTTGTTTTATTTATTATTTTTTTTTAAAGATTGGCACCTGAGCTAACATCTGTTGCCAGTCTTCTTCTTTTTTTTTTCTTTCTTCTCCCCAAAGCCCCCCAATACATAGTTGTATATTCTAGTTGTAGGTCCTTCTGGCTGTGCTATGTGGGATGCTGCCTCAGCATGGCCTGATGAGCGGTGCCATGTCTGCACCCAGGGTCCGAACCAGCGAAACCCGGTGCCGCCGAAGCAGAGCGCAGGAACTTGACCACTCAGCCACGTGCCCAGCCCCGCAAGTTGTTTTAGCTAAAACTTATAAAATGTACTTGACAGGTCATGTACGTTATTACTGAAATTTTCTCGTTAGTCTTTAATATAAATATAAATCAACAGAGAACTATTCCCCCCACACACAGGAAGATTAGCCCTGAGCTAACTACTGCCAGTCCTCCTCTTGTTGCTGAGGAAGCCTGGCCCTGAGCTAACATTCATGCCTATCTTCCTCTACTTTACATGTGGGACGCCTGCCACAGCATGGCCCGCCAAGCGGTGCCCTGTCCCCACCCGGATCCGAACTGGCGAACCCCGGGCCGCTGAGAAGCAGAACGTGTGGACTTAACCGCTGCGCCACGGGGCGGCCCCAACAACTGTTTTAAATGTAAAGTGGATTGACTGAAAACCAACGTAACCATTTCAGTAGGAAAATATCTCATGGGTGTTATTACCAAGCCAGTGTCCTGACAGTGGAATTTTAGTTCCCGTTTGTTTGCCCATTTCCCGCACACTGGGGGAGCCGGGGCTCAGAGAGAAAACGCAGTCAACGCCCTGGCCCACGGGGTTCAGTTCTGGGGCTTCCAAGCCCGCATTTTCGCCTGCGGAGTCATCCTCGCGCCACCAGGGGGCGCCATCGGAGAGAACGTGGGGCTCGCCGAGGGCGGCTGGGAGGCGCGGGCGCCGGCGCTCGCCAGGCCCGGAAGACGCGCTTTGCAGACGTCCCTGCACTCGGTTCCCACCGACACCCGGGAAAGTGGTCTGACGATTTCCGTTCTTGCAGGTGGCCAAGTGCGCTCGCCAAGTCGCGCAGCACAGAGGAGGCAAAACTGGGATTTGAACTTAGGTCTCTTTGATTCTGCCCCCTGAAGGCATTTCCACCCGTGGCTCCTCACTGTGACCCTGATTTGTCCGTGTGTGTGTGTGTGTGGAAGGGTACTTTTCTCCCACCAAGCCCATTCGGTGTGCCCTTCCCTTTTTCTAGCACGCCTCTCTCCCTCCTCGTTGTACACTCATTGAACACCCATCTCCTGCCGTCCTCTCCCCTCAGCCCAGAGCTGGTACATCAGCCTTCTGAACATCTTTCCACCTGCCCCCTCTCATCCCCATCTCTCTGCCTTGGTCCAGCCCTGTCCTCATCTGCTGGGGTCCCTGCCCTGGCCTCCCCCTGGGCTCCCAGCCTCAGAGAGGGGAGCCTCCAGCAGAGGAGGCCGTTCTGGGATTCAAGATTCACACTGGGGTCCGACTTGGCTCTCTCTCTCTCTGCTCCCAGGAAGGCCCATGCCTTAGAGAGAGACATCAGGTGGTGCGCTCATCCTCCCAACTCCACCCCCTCCACCTCCGCGGCAGCCTGGGAACTGGAGGACATGGGTGTGTCACCCTGCCCGTATGGCCAGACATGAGCACGATCTGGAATTTCAGGTCTATAAATCACTTGGGTTGGGGGGGCTCATAAAGCTGTTCTCCCATGCTTGTCTGCCTGCTTGGTCTCTTGTCCCCTCCTCCAGACACCCTGCCCACTTCCTTGGAGACTGACCCAAGAATGGGCCTGGGCGTATATAGGGAGCCACTGTGGGAAGGGCCTGCCAGAGAAGCTTCTGGCAGAGAAGGTGAGGAGGGGGCTCTAAGGGTCTGGATGCAGCAGAGGGAGCTGGGGAGGTCTGAGCTCTGGCCAGGGAGGCCCCACCAGAGCCTCGGTTTCCTCTTCTGTAAAATAGCCCACCACAGCGGTGGTGGGAGGCTGGGCACATTCAGTACCAGCCTGGACCCAGCAGAGAGTGGGAGCAGCTCCTGGGAACTGGGGGTGGAGTGGGGGTGGTGGGTCCAGCTGGGCCTCCCTCCCCTCCTGGCCTCTGCCTGGCCTCTTCCCCGCTCACCTGTCTCCGGCAGGACTATGGCTTCTGCAGCAGAAGAGGCAGAGAAGGGGTCTCCAGTTGTGGTGGGACTGCTGGTTGTGGGCAACATCGTTATTCTGGTGAGACATCCCCCAGTGCTGGGAGCCGAGTGGGTGAGTGTGGGGAGGGGGCAGTCCTGAGCCTGGGCATGGGGGCTGAGGGCCCAAGACTCCCCAGATGGCCAGTGCTATGGGCTCTCAAGCCAGAGAAGCCTGGATTCAAATCCCAGCTCTGCCTCTCCTCAGCTGTGTGACCTTGAGCAAGGGACCTTACTTCTCTGTGCCTGTTTCTCCATCTATAGCTTATGTTCTCATTGTGGGGTCTCTTGTGAGGATTAACTCATGTGTGCCCCTGAGCTCAGAAAAAGTGCTTGACAAATGCTGGCCATCATCATTAACATGATTAAGGATGTAAAGTGCCTCCTTGGCACTCAGAAGGCCCATGGTAATGAATAATAACAATGTCCTTTAATAAATGTTTAATGTTTTTAAAAAATATATGATACCTATACATGGCTCTGGAGCCAGACAGCCTGGGTTCAGATCCCAGCTCTGCTGCTTTCTACCGTGGGAACTGGAGCCAGTGATGTAACCCCCTTAGTTTTCTCATCTGTAAAATGGAGATAAAATAGGACCGCTAGGAGGATGAGATGAGTTACGGATTAATGTGCTTAGACCGGAGTTTGGCGTTGTGTTGGCTGTAACAACGCTAGACACCGCAGCTGCTCGCGGTGGTTATCACACAGAAGCAGTTGTGGGGACCAATGCCGGCGCACGGTAAGTCCCCTGTGGTGTTAGGTTGGCTGTTGTCAGAGGGATCCACAAGAAGTCTTCCTCTCTCCTGCTCCCCATTGTGGTGGGACTGCTGGTCGTAGTAGCCAGATTTTTGTTTCTCCGTTTCTTTATGCAAATAGGAACATATATACCTGTTTTTTCCCTTTCTTTCCCCAAAATGTAGCTCATGCCACATCCTGTTCCGTGCCTCTTGTTTTCTCCTGCTCTCAGTCTGTAGGCCACTCCACACGAGCCCTCAGAGGCTCATTTGTAATGTCCTGGCCATGGCCAGATTGCTGTGCTCCGGGAATAACAGCACTATTAAGGGAAGGTGGCATGACCCAGGATCTCCTCGGTGCCAGTCACGCGCTCCAGCTTTGCGGATGTGCTGTCTCCTTGTATTCTTGAAGCAACTGGCAGCTGGCCTGTAGTGGGGCAAGGGTCTGGCTGGGCCCTCCCTCCCCTCCTGACCTCTGCCCAGCTCATCCCTGCTCAAGGAAGGCAATGTCTTTGCCACTCTTGTTACATGCCCACTTTACCCAGAGGGCAGTGGAGGCTCTGAATGGGGAAGGCACTTGCTCACGGAGACTCGTGCAGCTGGGCTGCTGCCCCTGAACAGGGCTTTCTAACTGGCTGCCCTGTCCAGCTGTCAGGCCTGGCCCTGTTTGCCGAGACAGTATGGGTGACAGCTGACCAGTACCGCGTGTATCCACTGATGGGCGTCTCAGGCAAGGATGACGTCTTCGCTGGTGCCTGGATCGCCATCTTCTGCGGCTTCTCCTTCTTCGTGGTGGCCAGCTTTGGTGTGGGTGCTGCGCTCTGCCACCGCCGGTCTATGATGCTCACGGTGAGGCCCCACGAGGGAGGATGGGGATGGGTGGCCACGAAGATCATCATCACAGATGATGTCAAAATATCAGTTACCAGCACAGTCGCTAGGTGTGTTCAGCATGACACCACTCGGCCTCACGGCAGCCAGTTTGTTTAATCTTCCCATAACTCAGTCACCTAGGCTCACTGTTTCCTCATTTTACAAAGAAAACCGGGCCACAGGGGAGGGAGGGAAGGAAACTCTGCACAGGAAGACAGCTCTTGAGTAGCAGGACTGGGGTTTGAACCTAGGATAGTTGGTCTCCAGGGTCTGTGCTCGCAAGCTCTGTTGATAACAATGACAACAATAATAATAGCACAGCTACCATTTAATAAATGCTCACTACATTCTAAATGCTTCACATGGACTAGTTCGTTTATTCCTCCCCACCCACCATGAGATACCAACACCACCATCCTCACCACCATCCTCATCACCACCACCACCACCACCATCACCACCACCACCACCACCACCACCACCACCACCACCACCATCATCACCACCACCATCATCACCACCACCCCCGTCATCACCACTACCACCATCATCACCACCATCATCCTCGTGAGCCCATTTGACAGAGTTGAAACTGAGGCTTGGACAAGTGAAGTCACTTATCCAGGGTCACACAGCAAGTAAGTGACAGAGCCAGGATTTAAACCTGAGCAGGTCACCACTTGAGCCTGTTAAGTGTTAACTTAATCTCTGCCAACCATAATAATCACAACAACAATAACCCACACTTCCGGGTACCTCTCATGCACCTGACACTAGGCTAAGCAGGTTAGAAGTGAGCTCCCTCAACCCTCCCAGAAGCCCTCTGAAGTTAGCACTTGTCTACCCATTTACCAGGTGAGGACACTGAGGTTCAGAGGCCAAAAACCCAGGTGACGGGGAGAGCAGGGATTCCAATCCTGGCCCCACTGACGCAGAGCCAACACTGCTCTTCCTCTGCAGTTGAGGGCCTTTTAGACTCAATCAACAAATCAACAAATGTTTACTGAGCAAGAACCATGTGCCAAACCCTAGCTAGGCACTGGGCTATCTAGTGAGCAAACGTGAAAGCCGTTGCCCTGCAGAGGATGCTCTGAGCCGGAGACAGCAGAGACAGTGAACAGGGAAAAGAGATCTGGAGCTGGGAGAGGGGGAAGGGGAGGCCTCTCAGCCAGAGAAAGGAAGGCACGGGGAGGTGATGGAGTGAGCCGGGGGTGTGTCTGCAGGAAGAGCATTCCAGATGGAGGGAATAGTGGAGCAAAGGCTCTGAAGCCAGAGGGGCCAGGAGTCCAGTGTGGTGGCAGCCCAGTGGGGATAGGAGTTGAGTAAGAGGAGATGCGGGTGGGTGAGGGGAGGAGAACAGTGGGGTGAGCGTGGAGGATGAGGGGAGAAAGGGAAGGCGGGCCTATGCGGTGGGCCTTACAGGTCTTGGTAAGGACCTTGGCATTACTGTGAGTGAGATGGATCCATGGAAAGGCACTTTTCTTTTCCTTTTCTTCTTTTTTCCTTTCTTTCCTACACTTAATTCTCTGGCATAACAATTTAGCCAAAGCCCTAAAAGTTCACCCAACCTGTAAAAAAGAGGAAAAGAAAAGTTTGTATTTGTGTTTGTGTCTGTCTCCCCAGTTTGTCATTAACTATGACAGAATTTTTTTTTTAATTATTATGGGAAATTTTGAACATAGACTGAAGTAGAGTGAAGGGTTTGGTTACCCCTGTGAACCCATCACCTGGTTTCAGCAACAGCCACCCCAGCCTGGCCATCTTGTCCCCTCTCCTCCACCCTCTGCCTGCCCACATTCTTCTTTCCTGGGGTATCTGGAAGCACATTCCAGACACCAAGTCATTTACCTGTAAATACTCGAGCGCACATTACTCTGAGCGATAAGGACATTGTTTTAAAGCAGCCAGGCGAGTTCCGCCACAGCCTCTGCATCGTGGCTGTGGAGCTGGCACAGCCACCCCCACCCCCATTGCTCTGGGGAGAATGAGGGGTGAGGACAGCGGAGGATTCAGGGGAGGAGTGAGGGCAGCAAGATAGCTTTCGTTAAACACCAGTCAAAGAGCTTTTTTCTTCTTTTTTTGCACAACCACTGTGCCACTGGCGCACTGCAAAATCCATCCTAGTTCCTTTGTATCTACCTTCTAAGGCCCAGCCTGTGTTCAGATGTTTCTGTTCTCTCCAGAATGTCTTTATTTTCTTACTTTTCTATAGTAGACATGTATTTTACTGCACCCAAGCCAGTAGTTAACTTCGGGAAATACTTCACATCTTCTTTCTTGATTTCATTTCCCCCTAACACTGTATTATAAAAAATTTCAAACAGAAAAGGTGTGAGACTTGAACAGCGAACACCTGTATGTCCACCACGTAGACGTTACCATTCACATTGTCCTACGCTTTTTTTAATGGCATTTCTATCCATCGATCCACCCCTTGAGGGACGTGACTTCACAGGCTTCGCCCTGATCAGCCGTGCCTCATCCCTCCCTCCCCCCCTCCCTCTCTCCCCAGTACCTGGTGCTCATGCTCATCGTCTACATCTTTGAGTGTGCCTCCTGCATCACGGCCTACACCCACCGAGACTACGTAAGCAGCAGAGGCCAGGGGAGGGGCCTGACTTCTGAGGGGGAGGGGGATGGTCTTGAGCAGGGGGGGAGGTCCACGTCCCTCCCTACCCAGCCCCACTTCTCGGCCCTCCGCAGATGGTGTCCAACCCATCTCTGATCACCAAGCAGATGCTGACCTTCTACAGTGCAGACACGGCCCAGGGCCGGGAACTGACCCGCCTCTGGGACCGCATCATGACTGAGGTGGGCGAGGGCGGGCGAGGAGGGCCTGGGGCTCTGATCACAGAGCTGGATAGGGCTCCCACTACGCCCCCTGGTAGATGGTATCTACTCCTGTGGTTTATATGAGGGAGGGGCTCTGGTTATTGACATTTTCCAGATGAGTAAACAGGCCCAGAAAAGGGCAAGGCACTTGCCCAGGGTCACACAGTTAGTAAGATCCAGGGCCACTGCTCTTAACCCTTAACAGATACTGTCTCAATAATGATGATGATGATGATGATGATAACCAATGTTTAATGAGCACTAACTTTTGTTTGGCAGTGTTCAATGCACTTTTAAAGCCTATTTAATCCTCACAACCACCTCATAAGGGAGATCGGCCTTTTAGCTGATGAGAAAACCAAGCTGATGGGTGGCTGGTAGGTCACAGAACCAGAAGGACTCAAACACAGGCCACCAGGTTCCAGAAGCCACATTCTTAATTAAACTCAACATGACCCAGCAGCGCAAGAGAAGAATATTGAGGCCCCAAGGAAAATGAGGTCCCAATTTGGCTCAAGTCATGCATCTAGCCAGGATTGGAACCCCTGTTTGAAGCAGCCTATGTTTTCATCATTCGAGGGCCACAAATTAAGCACCCACAGGGGCCAGAGGAAGCCAGGAATCTGCCTTTTGGTGGCTAGCATTCACTGTGTGACCTCAGGCAAGCAGCTGTCCTCTCTGAGCCAGAGCCTGCCTGACCCCTGCCTTTCTCTCCAGCAAGAGTGCTGTGGCACATCTGGTCCCATGGACTGGGTGAACTTCACATCAGCCTTCCGGGCGGCCACCCCGGAGGTGACGTTCCCCTGGCCCCCACTGTGCTGTCGCCGGACTGGCAACTTCATCCCCCTCAGTGAAGAAGGCTGCCGTCTGGGCCACATGGACTACCTGTTCACCAAGGTGTGTCCCCTCCCCCCTGCTGCCCCTGTCTGACCGTCTGTCTGGCCCTCTCTGGTTCTTTTGTCTCTTCCTCCCTCCCACTGCCTGTCTGCCATCTCCTCCTGCCCTTTCTGGCTTTCTCCTTTTCCCTCCTCTCTCTGGCTCTCTCAACTCTCTCTCCATCTGTCCCTTCCTCCCTCTGCAAGTCAGCGGGCTGCACACAGGCTCCGTGTAATCCAGACCCGGCACCTGAGCTTTCCTCAGCTTTTCTGGGAATGACAGCAACAGTAAGAATGACAGCAGCACCGCTCCGATAACAGCCAACATTTATGGAGCCCTTTCTTTGTACCAGGCATCCTTCTAAGTGCCGTGGTCTTCTGAGGTCCAGATTATGATTGTCCCATCTGACAGCTGGTGGAACTGAGAGGGCGCTCAGTGAGGGGTGGAGCAGGGGTTTGATTGTGGGCAGTCAGGCCCAGCCAGGTCTTTAACAGTTTTCACACTGCAATGCGAGTGCAGAGGTGGAGAGAGACCAGAGGAGGTTAGACTGAGAGGAGAACTGGTCCCAGGGGTCCCTCTGGCTGCTTTGGGCTGCCTGGGGGCCCTTCAGCGGCATTGCTTAGAGCAGGTGTCACGGAGAAGGGAGCCGTGCAAACCGTCACCTCCATCAGTCGGACAGCGGTTTCCTGAGCCCTGACTTCCGGGCATCATCTCGTGGAACCCCCACGAGTGCTTTCGGAGCGCAGCGCTGCCACTCCACAGATGGGAAAACCGAGGCTCAGAGGGTCAGAATCATGCCTAGGCCCCGCAGCCAGCAAATGGCAGAGCTGGCCCCCAATTCAGTCCACCTGACTCCAGGACACACACCCCGAACCTTTGCTCTTGGCTGCTTCTGAGTTGGGGCAGGGGTCACCAGGAAGGTGACTCTGGTGTGGGGCTCTGGCTCCACTCGGCCTCATCTCTGTATGAGGAGGGGCCAGAACCGGACTGATCCAGAAGGCATATTTCAAACCCTTGGAACTCGTGGGCAGCATGGAAAGCAGTCTCCAAACAATGTCACTCTCAGACTGTCACAGCCACCATCAGGGTGGCACCTACTTGCACAGGGTTGCATCCCTGGCTCCCCAAAACTACCCTGGGAGGTGGACACTGCCCTCATCCCCACTGACAGATGGGAAAACCAAGGCTCCAGGAAGGAAGGGACCTTCCCGAGGGCGCCCAGTGACTCTTGCTTTCGGCAGCCAGCCTCCCTGGGCATTTTTCAAATTCCCATTTTCCCCCTGCCCAGGGCTGCTTCGAGCACATCAGCCATGCCATTGACAGCTACACATGGGGCATCTCGTGGTTTGGGTTTGCCATCCTGATGTGGACGGTGAGAGGCGGGGGCCTATGGACTGGGTGGGGTGGGGATGTGGGGCTGGAGCATCCCTCACCTGACTGCCTCCTCCTCCAGCTCCCTGTGATGCTGATAGCCATGTATTTCTACACCACCTTATGAGGAACACGAAGCGAAGGCCACTTGTGCACCTCACCTCCTCCTACTCCTGCTTCCTCCAGCTGAGGCCTGGATGGCTGCCTCACTTCTGCCCCGCCCACTTCCCTCACCCTTCCCCTCCTTCCACTCCAAAGATCTTTTACCAGGTTTCTGAGCCCTGCTGGGACACGGAGCTGCCCTGAAACCCCTGGACATATGTGCAAGGACCCTTAGCCCTTAAGCTCATTTCACTTGGCTGATTCCTGGCCCATCTCTGAGTGTCAACTTAAAGTCCTGTCCTCAGGAGACCCTTCCCTGATCCCACCACCGCATCCACAGGTGCCTCTCTTGTCGCTCCCTGAACTCCTCCTTCATCGTGGGGGTCGCCATCATTGGTGAAGAGTTTGCGATTATCTGTTTAAGCTCTGGTAGACTGGGATTGCTGTGAGGGGACGGACAAGTTCTGTCATGGCCTCTTTATTGTTACCAGCATCACCCAGCACAGGGCTAAGCATGGGTGTTCAATAAATACTGGTTGAATGAATTATTTGTTTTCTTCTTGGGCAAAGGTGAATGAACAAGAACTCTTCCAATGGAAGTGGCAGAAACCCAAATGGCACTGACTGAAACATAAAATGGAATTTATTGGCTCATGTAACTGAGTCAATAGGGCTCGCTTCAGGCATATCTGGATCCAGGGGTTCAGTCTAGGTTTCCAGAAAACCGGCTTCATTCTCAGGCAGGATTTCTCTGGTAACATCAGGCTTGCATCTTCAGAGCTAAGCAACACAGCAGCGAGAAAGAGCGTCTCTCCCAAGAGCTTTAGGCAAGGTCAGGGATTAAATCTCTCTGTCTTGGTTTAGGTTCCAGGCCCATCCTTTGGTTGGGGGAAGGGAGGGCACCAGGATTAATAATCCTGCTAAGGATGCAACCAGGGCTGGTATTATGAGGGGGGAGTGTTCATCAAAGGAAAATCAGAGTGCAGGGCTGTTGGGCCCGCACAGGCCACAGACATCCTCCCCCCAGGGGCTCTAGCTTGCAGGAAGTTCTCTAAGGGGTACAGGACAGCAAACAGTTTAAGAGTTTTGTCATCACTCTTTTGTCATCTCTGAAGCAGGCTCATCCTCGGGCCATTTTACAGCAATTAGGCCCTGCCAGGAGAGCCTGGCTTTCTTCCCCATGGGATGAGGTTTCTAGGGGTCCTCATTCACTCCACTGTCTGCAGCTGGTCTGCAAATGCTGAATACAGATGTTAGGTTTTTTCCCATTTTTATTTTAATTAATTAGTTTATTTTTATTATTTATTATTTTTTTATTGAGGTCATATTTGTTAATAATATTATATAAATTTCAGTGTACATCCTTATATTTTGACTTCTGTATAGACTGCATCATGTTCACCACCAAAAGTCTAGTTGCCACAGATGTTAACTTTTTAAAATATACCTTAAAAAATCTGTAATGGTCATAGGGGTCATGATCTGTTAGGGAGAAAAATTGGAAACAGCCTAACATCCACCAGCAAGGAATGGGTTGTACAATTTATGTTACATCCTCGGACTGGAATTCTCTGTGGCTGTTAAAAAGAAGTTAGATCTATGTGAGCTGACATAAAAAGATGTCATAATGGTATAAATAATTGGAAAGCATACATAGGATTTTCATAATAGTAACCTAAGTGAGTATCAGTAGGGGCCTGGTTCAATTCACTAAGCTCTAGCTATACTCCAGAATACCACACAGTAGTAAAAAATAATGAACAAGGGCGCTATGTTTTAACACAGAAAAAGCTCCAAGAACTGCAGAGTAGAAAAACTTGCAAACCACACACAATACTTTTATTCCTATAGATACATATGCAGGGTTGGACTATTCTTTTTAAAGGAATGGGTCAATGTTTTAAAAATAATGTATAAAAGAATGAGAAAAACACTTTTAAGAAAGCAAAAAATCACTTGTAGCCTTTTCATTTAAAAAAGATTATAAAAATTTAGAAATGGAAGCATCCTGGGGGCCAGCTGGGTGGTGCAGTGGTTAAGATCACACGTTCTACTTCGGCGGCCCAGGGTTCACCGGTTGGGATCCCGGGTGTGGATCTACCCAACGCTTGGCAAGCCATTCTGTGGCGGGCATCCCACATATAAAGTAGAGGAAGATGGGCACGGATGTTAGCTCAGGGCCAGTCTTCCTCAGCAAAAAGAGGAGAATTGGTGGCAGATGTTAGCTCAGGGCTAATCTTCCTTAAAAAAAAAAGGGGGGGGGGAAGCGTCCTATGTTCCACCCCCCAGGAAATCCTCTCTCCCCCAATCTAGTCCAATCCCCGGGTAGCTGCTATTAACATATGATAAAAGTCCTTTTTGGCTTCCCAAAAGTTTATATTGACACATCCATATATACTTATATAAGCACGCACATACATATTTAATAGAATCCTGCTTTAAATATTGCTTTGCAACTTGCTTTCTTTGCTTAACTATGTATTATGATCATCTTTCCATGTCAGTATATAAGAATTCATCTCTTTTCTTTTCTACTGTTTGGCAACGTATTCCAGAGTATCAGTGTGCCTTAGGCCATCCTGATCTGTTGTTAAGCAAACAAGGCAAGGAGCAGAGCAGTATGCAGAAGCGACTTCATTTTCATAGAAATGATATACACATGCTTCCCATGAAGGACTCCTCTGAGGAGGGAGTGGAATGGAGAGCTGAGAGGTGCAGGAATTTTCACACCATATATATCCTTATAATGTTTGAAAAAATTTTATAAAGATCATCTACTACTTTTCAAGAAGAAAAACCAGCAAAAGGGTTTCTAAAGTTCTAAGCAAGATACAGCTGTCTTTTCCAGCCAGAATTTTGAAAACGCCACGTAGATGTGTTATGCACCATATTTTAACACACACGAGCCGCTCCGGATAACTCGCCTGACTGGCTTTTCTGCAAGCCCTGGAATGAAACTTTCCCCCGACCCCGGGCACATATTTGACTGTCTCGTAAACGTGTCAAGGAAAGCGGGGATTTCATCCTAATCTACTTTTAGATTTAGGTCTGTCCTCATGAGAAAGTTCACAGTGACTGAGTCTGTGATGGCTTCTCTGAGAGGCAAAGAGGCAGCGCTGAGTTTGCACCAGGCCGGCCGCACTCTGGGCCTCAGTGCGCCCCTCTGCAAAACGGGGGTTCTAACAGTGCCAACCTCATGGCGTAGGACCCAACACATCCTAAGAGCTCAGGAACCAGTAGACCTTTTGTTATGAATCGGGAATTTTCTTGATCACCTGTAATCAAAATGAAATGCAGAAATACACTGCCTGCTGAGGCTGCAACTGTCTCTGGTGAACCCCAGTTTCAAATGTTTGGGATTCCACCATCTTTGATATGCAGAAGCTGATTTACCAAACTGACTCACATATTTGCACTTACAAATGTCAAGTCACACTGGCAAATGCTTGGTGCTTTCACTGACAGACGCCCAGGCCATGGGCTCAGCATATGTTAGAGTTAATGTGATGCTTTCTGTCTGAGGGTCGTTAAAGAATGTTTGTGGCATTAATGCAGATTGATATGCATCAAATCAGTTTTCCCCTTAAAAATCACACTGAAAAAGAATATTTAATGTCATGGGAAAAGAAGTGGGAAATTATTAAGCAAAAAAGGAAGATTACAAAGTAGCTGGCCAAGTATGATTGCGTTTCTCATGAAAACATCAAAACGTGCGTGTTTGCCTTAAAACTGTAAAACAAAAAAGTCTCCCAAAGGTTAACATTGGTTATTAAGGAAGAAGAGACAGTTGCAGGGGATTTTTATTTCATTCCTTGGGCAGTTTGGTATTTTCCAAATAGTCTGTGATGATTATTGCTTTTGTCCTCCAACAAAACTCAAGAAATAAATGTTAATAGAAATGTCATTGCGGGACAGGAGGTGTGCATTGAGAAAAGACTTATTCTGCTAAACATTTTCAAATTTTACCTGAGCAGTTAAGACAGCTCAGGCCTGGCCAGACACTGGAGACTTGGGGTCAAGCTGGCCTCTGGGCAGCAGGCAGGAAGGCCTCCACCTCTGCCCCACATCTGCCACTACCCTCTCTGGCTCCATCTGGCCACATACCTGCAGAGGGCAGCTCAGCCGGACTGGCAGCTGTTTGGCCTGGCCAAGGCAGGCCTCAACCGGCAGGACAGGTTCATCTGCCCCAGCCCCTCCACTCAGAGGCCCGCTCCTGTGGGTGAGAGGGGAGCAAGGAGATGAGAGAGAAGTGAGGCTCCCAGGACAACCTAAAAGAGAGGCAGCCATTCGATGGCTGTTCCTCCTGCACCCCTACATGACCACATCTGTCCATGGCTCGATGCAGGCTCTAACCCTCCATGGCTCCCCAGTGCCCTCAGCACCAAGTCCAGCTCCTCGGCCTGGCACTGAGGGGCCTATGTGGCCCATCTCCTTGCCACTTCCCAGGCTTATCTCTCTCTCCTACCCTACTGAACCAAGCTCTTCTTCACCATCTGAGAGCAGAGAATGGAAAGAATCAACTATAATGTTATATAGCCATCAAGCAGGCACACACCTCTGAATATATCCACTGTTGCTTACACTCCTTCCATGAGGGCAAGTTGGCTTAGTCACTAAAATGTGAAACTCATATCCCTTTGACCTGACTGAGTCCACCTCTGAGAGTTCATCCTGCATATGCACTCACAAGTGTGCAAGACCCATGTACAAGGGTAACGGAAAAGCAACAAACGAGAAACAGCCCAAATCACAACAGAAGGGAACTGGTTATACAATTCATTTATATTCACACCATGGAATGCTATGCATCCCAGTTAAAAGGGAGCCACAGTCATAGTTGCTGATACAAAACCATCTCCAAGATACATTTTCCACCGAGAAAGATGCAAAGCGCAGAACCAAATGTAGCTAAATGCAATGTGACATGCTGGAGGGGATCCTGGGAGAGAAAAAAAGACAGAAGTGGAAAAATTAGCGCAATCTCAATAGTCTGGAGTCTCATCAATGGTACCATCCATTAACATTGGTACCAATGTTAACTGCTTGGTTTTGATAAATGTTCTCGGCTATGTGATGTGTTAACATCAGGGGCAACTGGGTGAAGGGTATACAAGAATTCTCCGTACTGTCTTTGCAACTTTTCTGTAAATTTAAAATTCTTCCCATATAAAAAGTTTATTTAAAAAACTGAATGTATGATTCTATGTTTGTAGGACTCTAGACAGGAGACAAAAGGAAAAGTTGCTGTATGCACGAGATACATCCTTTCTTACAGAGTGTTTTATTTTTATGATTAATTTTCCTTAATTCAGGAATGATTACCCATTTTGACAATTGATGAATATTTAAAAAATAATTTATATCCACACTTGCATCATAATTTTTTCAGAGTGCCACATGTCATTATTGGAAATTTTTTACCTGTGGCATTATTTGAGAATGTCTTCACTTTGGATTGCAGGAAGAAATTACACTGGGCTGAGGAATGGAGTGAAAGGAAACACAGGGCAATTCACTAGAAGCCAACTCACAAAATGTTCATGTG